CTAAATTTGGATAAAATCCCTTAATCCTTATGGTAGAAGAAGGATTTTAAAGGTTTTACCTCTATTTCCCCTATTGGGCCCTGCCTCTCTGCCTCCAGGGGGGTCAGACACACCGTTTATCTAAAATTGTTTCCCCTTCACCCAAAGGTGCTTCATACCAAATTTGGACAAAATCCTGTCATTTCTACAGAAGAAGAAAGGATTTTGAAGTATTTGTTACGTTTTCCCTATTGGGCCCATCCCTTCTGCCCCCAGGGGGGCCACACTTGCTGTTTATACGAAATTGAGTCCCTTTTGCCTAAGGATGCTCCAGACTAAATTAGGATAATATCCCTTAATCCCTATGGTACAAGAAGGATTATAAAGGTTTTACCTATATTTCCCCTATCGAGCCCTGCCCCTCATGTCCAAGGTGGGCCACACCCACCATCTATACAAAATTGGTTCCCCTTTACCCACGGATGCTCCACACCAAATATGGACCAAATCCTTTCATTCCTACAGAAGTAGAAGGATTTTAAAGAATAATTTGCTATGTTTCCCTTATAAGGCCCCGCCCCTCAGGCCCCTAGGAGGCCATGCAGACCCACGGTCTATACAAAATTGGTTCCCCTTCACTTAAGGATGCTTCAGACCAAATCCTTTCATTCCTACAGAATAAGAAGGATTTTAAAGAATTTGCTATATTTCACCTATTGGGCCCCACCCCTATAGCCCCTGGGGGGGCCAGACCCACCATTTATACAAAATTGGTTTCCCTTCCCCCAAGGATGCTTCAGACCAAACCCTTTCATTCCTACAGAATAAGAAGGATTTTAAAGAATTTGTTACATTTCCCCTATTGGGCCCTGCCCTAATCAGCCCCCAGGGGGGACAGACCCACGGTTTAAACAAAATTGGTTCCCCTTCACCCAAGAATGCTTCAGACCAAATATGGACCAAATCCTTTAATTCCTACAGAAGAAAAAGGATTTTACAGAATTTGCTATATTTCCCCTATTGCGCCTCGCCCCTCAACCCCTGGGGGGGCACCCCCCCCCCCAATTATACAACACTTGTTCCCCTTCTCCCAAGGATGCTTCTGACCAAATTTGGTCAAAACCTGCTCAGTTGTTCATGACTAGTAGCGTTTTAAAGGAAGAGTTGACGGACGCTGTGGTATGGCATAAGCTCACCATGGTGAGCTAAAAATCAAGAACTTGTTCAAAACAGTTATTATTGTACCTAAATTTGTTCTGAAAAGTTGGCATTATCTTCTGATAAAATATTTGATGCGAGATAACACAAAAAGATTATATGACACCCGACTACAGGCAGCAGACATCGCTGTTGGCTTTGATTAGCTGCTGTATTGGGTTTGTTGAGCAGGTGTGAAAACCTGGTAGAAACATTGGTGTGCCAGTGACACCTATTCATATATAAATATTGCAATTTTAAAAGACAAGTTTTGACGTTTTAAGTACTTCTTTGTTTTTAAAAATTTACATATGTTGAACTTGTCTTTGAAGAATTTCTCCATTTATTTGACTGCTTCTTGACACCTAAAATTCTGCATACGTGACAAAATCTATGAAAAACGAGTCAAGCTAAATTTCTTGAAGGTAAAATTATTGAGTACAGTTGCAAAGTTCAAAGCCAACCATACATGCTTCTAACATGAAGCATTTGAAAAATAATTGCCTTATATGATGATATACTGAAACATGATCAAGCCTGTGGAGTTGGAAAATGCATTAAAATCAGGAAGATCACCTTGTCTTTTTAGATCAAAATCGGGGAGATTTTGAGATTTTGATGTGTACCAGCATAATATTGTTTTAAATATTTCAAGTTTGAATTTCATACATTTGAGAAATTGTAAATTAATTAAGTTTAAATGATTTCTACGTCTTAACAACTTACTTTGGGAGATGACATCTAGCGAGCTGACTTTCATTTAAAAGTTCAATTTACTTATTTGAAAAAAATGTCGATACCACCATGTTACGAAGGTGTCATGAAACATACAGGATTCCAACTTACCTAACTTCTTCGCCATATCCTCAATTGTGTTTAATGCTGATGGAATTCTGCTTTCATTAGTAACCATGACTTCTATTTCACCGACTTGGAAACCAAAATCTGTGATATCGAGGTCGACTGTACATTCAGGAAGACTGTAGCTCTGACGATGGGTTGTAAAAGTTGCAAATTCTTCCAGGCCAACAATCTTTACCAAGTCTGATACACTAAGTTCCTCCGAGAAGCCATCGACACTGAAATGCTGAATCAGGTACTTAACAATATCTTTCTCCTTTGTGATTTCCTCATACTGTGTTGATAGTGAACAGGACAATCGTCTGGCCACTTTCAGCTCCCAGTCCAGATTTCTCTGCCTGAACCAGCAGTCCTGTAAGGTCAAGGAATACTTAGAATCATCGTAGTATCTATCTGTAAATGTTTTCTCTACATTTAACGATGCCCCCAACTCCTTCAGTTTGTCCACACATTTTGCAGTGATGACAAACTTTCTTTCCACCTCGATCATCTTCACTGGTGTTGGCTTTGATTGCTTGGCCACTGCAGGCATTGGTTCTGTCATCTGAGGCACAACTGAGTTTGAGACCAATTCTTCCCTCACTTCTTGGTTCAGATCTTCGTGATGTGGAGGTGATCTGCTCTGTGTGGACTCCTGTTCTGTACCAACATTGATGTTCGTTGAGGACACGAAATTGGATACAGCTATCTTGGAATGTGTTGGTACAGAAGATGTAGCGTTGAAATTTTCCTGAACTGACAATTTCTTGCTTTCCTCTGATATTCTGCTATCTGTGATGTCTTCCACAGCTGGGAAGACTTCCACCTCTGGCAGATCCTCAGCTGCTGATGAGGATTGAGAATCAGCCTGCCACCAAAGCTTGGCAGCCATGGACTCAGATCTCCAACTGTCGGAGTGATCCAGCTGGACAGAGTCCTCTCCTATTCCCTCACTGCTCGTGTCGCCAGCCTCCGCAGCCTCCTTCTCATCAGCAAATAGATTTCTCTCCTGGAATAACATCACAGAAGTTGTACTACGGATTTCATACGCTCTATTTTTGGAATCACATTTTTCTTCCTCTTCTTCATCTTTAAAACTCAAAGGATTAGACAGCACACTGACATACGGAGAACTCATAGCACTATTTATCTCCATGGTGATAGAATTTGAAAATGTCCTTCCACGGTTTTCCTGACTATTTGTCACAGTGGCTGTATCTGGCTGCTGGTGATGGTGGGAACCTGTCAAATTATCTGGTGAAATTTCTGACCCTCGCTGTGAAATGTCTTGCATGTTCGCCTCTTTCCTGTCAATATATCGCATGTCAAACTGTAAGTGACCTGAAGTTTCTGCCACCGAATCCTGTTCAAGCTCGCGCAATAATGCAGATTCCTGTTCTGAGGTAAGGCTGCCAGGAAATGCATCACCAAAATATGTGTTGTCAGTCAAACTTATCCCATTATTATTACTGGCGTCTTCTTGACTGTTACTGAATTTTTGACTGAGGCATTGATTCTCTGATCCTGGTGACCTTTGACCTGGGGACCCTATTGGAATGTAAAGATGACCCGCTGGACTAACAACCTCCCTGGAGGGACTTAGAATTTTCCTTTCTTTCCTGTCAATAAATGTCAAGTCCATGTTTTTCCCGTTTGAATTCATTCTTGAAATTTTACGGAGAGGATATCGCTGGTATTGTTATTTTTCCTTAAGTCAAAGATCTAGATGATTAGAATATTCAAAGGGTGAAGATTGGCTCACAATGGCAGGAACAGCAACTGAAATTAGAAAACAACACCATTACTACTGTGATGGAACAGCACATGTTATCACAAGTTTTATTGGGTTCAATTCATTGTAATACAGGGTGAAAGACTTGGATGCATTCTTATAACAAAATTTATAATATTAGAATGTAGTAAGAAGGAACTACATCATTCAATAAACTGAACTATTTCTTAGACGCGATAAAAGGAGAAACAAGAGGCCCATGGGCCTTAACGGTCACCTGATATATTTATACAGAGAGTCGATTTTGTTTTTAACATGAACAGAAATATTATTCAAAGTGACAAAAAACAATAAACCACCTTATTCAATATCTAGCATACAGATTTCAGACTAAAAAGGATTTGAAACTAGCACCTCTGATTCTTAACAAGGAAAATGATTTTTTTTAGCACACTGACTCCTTTGAGCCCCACCCTATAGGCCTTGGGGGTAGGGCTGGCTCAAAATTTTCAAAGTATCAAACTGTCAACTCAAGGTTATAATTCCAATCAAGTTGTTAACTTGTAATATTCAAAGTATCATTTGCCATTAAAAACCATAATAAATTTTGCCCCCCCCCCCTCCTTCCCCAGGGGGTAAACGTGAGACCCTAGGGTCATAAACCTTAAGACCCTTCCATCTAGGAGAGTATTTGATTCTACCATATCTTGGTCTTGAGAAGAAGATTTTTGAAATTTCAGCCAATTCAACCCTTTTTGGCCCCACCCATCAGCCCCTGGGGGTCAGTCAGGGCTGATATGTGCTTATTATCAAACTGCTACCTAATAATGATAATGCTAACCCAAATTGAATTACTTCCAATGGAAATTAAACAAATGTTGGTCCAAAATGTGATTTCCCTATATAAACTATAGTAAAGTTTACCCCCTCCCCAGGGGGAAACGTGAGACCCCAGGGTCATGAAATTCACAATTTTGGTAAAGCACCTTAAGACCCTTCCATCTATGAAGAGTATTTGATTCTACCATATCTGGGTCTTGAGAAGAAGATTTTTGAAATTTCAGTCAATTCAACCCTTTGTGGCCCCACCCATCAGCCCCTGGGGGTCAGTCAGGGCTGATATGTGCTTATTATCAAACTGCTACCTAATACTGATAATGCTAACCCAAATTGAATTACTTCCAATGGAAATTAAACAAATGTTGGTCCAAAATGTGATTTCCCTATATAAACTATAGTAAAGTTTACCCCCTCCCCAGGGGGAAATGTGAGACCCCAGGGTCAAGAAATTCACAATTTTGGTAAAGCACCTTAAGACCCTTCCATCTATGAAGAGTATTTGATTCTACCATATCTGGGTCTTGAGAAGAAGATTTTTGAAATTTCAGTCAATTCAACCCTTTTTGGCCCCGCCCCTCAGGCCCCTGGGGGCTTAGGAGTAAACCGGCAGCCATTTTTGTTGACCTTTGTCCATGGAAGGTCCCTGCAAAATTTCATTGAAACTGGTACAGGGGTTTTGGAGAAGAAGTCGAAAATGTAAATTGTTTACGGACGCACGACGGACAAAAGGCGATCGCAATAGGTCACTTGAGACTTTGTCTCAGGTGACCTAAAAACTGTAAATTACTTCACTAGCCGAATAATAATACATATCCTTTAATACCTTGAACTATAAGTTTTAATGGTATATACAAATTGCCTCCCTTTGACCATATGTTAATTAATCATAAACAGATTTTATTAAAATCTGGTCATATTTGATAACGTTATTGTGTAGAAACCATAGACCAATCCGAGCACAGTATACTAATTTTGTGTGGATTTGGCTCAGCTTTAAACCCTGTCTGAGCCTTTGTATTTTGAACATGCCTACCAAGTTTCCTCAAAACTTAAAGATATATCCAGTGGAAACCGAAGTGTGCATAGAGATAGATAGATGCTTCCGGTATCATAATATGTCCTTTCAAAATTTAAAGTGATGCCCCCCATACCATAACATGTTCTAAGGATACTCCCCATACCATAATATGTTCTAAGGATACTCCCCATACCATAATATGTTCTAAGGATACTCCCCATACCATAATATGTTCTAAGGATACTCCCCGTACCATAATATATCCTATCAAAATTTAGAGGATACTCCCCGTACCATAATATATCCTATCAAAATTTAGAGGATACTCCCCGTACCATAATATATCCTATCAAAATTTAGAGGATACTCCCCGTACCATAATATATCCTATCAAAATTTAGAGGATACTCCCCGTACCATAATATATCCTATCAAAATTTAGAGGATACTCCCCGTACCATAATATATCCTATCAAAATTTAGAGGATACTCCCCGTACCATAATATATCCTATCAAAATTTAGAGGATACTCCCCGTACCATAATATATCCTATCAAAATTTAGAGGATACTCCCCGTACCATAATATATCCTATCAAAATTTAGAGGATACTCCCCGTACCATAATATATCCTATCAAAATTTAGAGGATACTCCCCGTACCATAATATATCCTATCAAAATTTAGAAGGATACTCCCCGTACCATAATATATCCTATCAAAATTTAAAGGATACTCCCCGTACCATAATATGTCCTATCAAAATTTAGAGCTATCAAAATTTAGAGGATACTCCCCGTACCATAATATGTCCTATTAAAATTTAGAGCTATCAAAATTTAGAGGATACTCCCCGTACCATAATATGTCCTATTAAAATTTAGAGCTATCAAAATTTAGAGGATACTCCCCGTACCATAATATATCCTATCAAAATTCAGAGCTATCAAAATTTAGAGGATACTCCCCGTACCATAATATATGTCCGATCAAAATTTAGAGGATACTCCCCGTACCATAATATATCCTATCAAATTTTAGAGGATACTCCCCGTACAATAATATATCCTATCAAAATTTAGAAGGATACTCCCCGTACCATAATATATCCTATCAAAATTCAGAGCTATCAAAATTTAAAGGATACTCCCCGTACCATAATATGTCCTATCAATATTTAGAAGGATACTCCCCGTACCATAATATGTCCTATCAATATTTAGAAGGATACTCCCCGTACCATAATATGTCCTATCAATATTTAGAAGGATACTCCCCGTACCATAATATGTCCTATCAAAATCTAGAGCTATCAAAATTTAGAGGATACTCCCCGTACCATAATATGTCCTATCAAAATTTAAAGGATACTCCCCGTACCATAATATGTCCTATCAATATTTAGAAGGATACTCCCCGTACCATAATATGTCCTATCAAAATCTAGAGCTATCAAAATTTAGAGGATACTCCCCGTACCATAATATATGTCCTATCAAAATTTAGAGGATACTCCCCGTACCATAATATGTCCTATTAAAATTTAGAGCTATCAAAATTTAGAGGATACTCCCCGTACCATAATATATGTCCGATCAAAATTTAGAGGATACTCCCCGTACCATAATATATCCCATCAAAATTTAGAGGATACTCCCCGTACCATAATATGTCCTATTAAAATTTAGAGCTATCAAAATTTAGAGGATACTCCCCGTACCATAATATATCCTATCAAAATTTAGAAGGATACTCCCCGTACCATAATATTTGTCCTATCAAAATTTAGAGGATACTCCCCGTACAATAATATATCCTATCAAAATTTAGAAGGATACTCCCCGTACAATAATATATCCTATCAAAATTTAGAAGGATACTCCCCGTACCATAACATGTCCTATCAAAATTTAGAAGGATACTCCCCGTACAATAATATATCCTATCAAAATTTAGAAGGATACTCCCCGTACCATAACATGTCCTATCAAAATTTAGAAGGATACTCCCCGTACCATAACATGTCCTATCAAAATTTAGAAGGATACTCCCCGTACCATAACATGTCCTATCAAAATTTAGAAGGATACTCCCCGTACCATAATATATGTCCTATCAAAATTTAGAGGATACTCCCCATACCATAATATATGTCCTATCAAAATTTAGAGGATACTCCCCATACCATAATATATGTCCTATCAAAATTTAGAGGATACTCTCCGTACCATATAATATGTCCTTTCAAAATTTAGAGGATCCTCCCCGTACCATATAATATGTCCTTTCAAAATTTAGAGGATCCTCCCCGTACCATATAATATGTCCTTTCAAAATTTAGAGGATACTCCCTGTCCCATAATATATCCTATCAAAATTTAGAAGGATACTCCCCGTACCATAACATGTCCTATCAAAATTTAGAAGGATACTCCCCGTACAATAATATATCCTATCAAAATTTAGAAGGATACTCCCCGTACCATAACATGTCCTATCAAAATTTAGAAGGATACTCCCCGTACAATAATATATCCTATCAAAATTTAGAAGGATACTCCCCGTACCATAATATATGTCCTATCAAAATTTAGAGGATACTCTCCGTACCATATAATATGTCCTTTCAAAATTTAGAGGATACTCCCCGTACCATATAATATGTCCTTTCAAAATTTAGAGGATACTCCCTGTCCCATAATATGTCCTATCAAAATTCAGCGGGATGCTCCCCGTACCAAATTATTTCCTATCAAAATTTAGAAGGATGGATAATGAAGGAATGGATATTAAAAGGAAATACATACACTAGAATCAACAGTAAGATGGTGAAGCTGGGAGGTTAAGGAGATAAACAAAATGAGTCTGTTTCTAAATACATTTGCACTACTGAACAGTAATAATAGGTTTAACGGAGGAGAGATTGAGAAGAAATAGCAAGGGAATTAGGAACAAATGTCGGAGTGTGGAATCTCTAACCAAATCTAATATTCCAGCAAGGACTATCTTGGCTTTAATTCAGCACTGGTCAGATCTGTTCACAAGAAATTCCTTCTTCACACGTTTTTTCATTTGTCTGTTTGAAATCTAGTGACAATCCATCTGTCTGACAAGGATTGGCCACTTTAATGAAGCAACAAACCTCCCAAGAAAACACATGTATCGCCCAAAGACACCTTCAGCCATTA